TGTGTGTGTGTGTGTGTGTGTGTGTGTGTGTGTGTGTGTGTGTGTGTGGAGGGAGGGAGGATAATAATTAGTACTAGTCAGAAACACTTGGCGACAGGAAGGAAGAAAAGTGTCTTTCTCTGTCTGCCTGTTTGAAAAATTGTCAGTTGCAAAGAGTAAAGTTTTGGCTCGTGGCTCTTTCAGTGGTGAGGGTTAGTATCGGTACAAATGACCCAGTTAAGTACCAAGTAGTATTGAAACTTCTCCAGTCCAACGATAACTGCAATAGAGCTTTGTTGTGCCCACGACCTATAGCGTGGTGCAGGAATGAGTCCTAATACCCAGGAATGAGTCTGCAATTTAGCACTTCCGGTTCCCTCGTCTCCCAGTCTTTTAAACCGCTATGCTGTGTTCTCGAGTCTGACCAGTCTTCAAACTCATTGATCTGTTACTCAAACTGGACTTTTATTATTTCACCAGTACTTGAAGTGAGGAGAGAGAGAAGGGAACTAACACCAGTGTACACTCGTAGCCACTATGCATAGAAAATTATTGAAGAATTTACTAATTTTACTAAAGTACTGATACCCCGAAGAAGACTTTCACGTTGAAACTTTGGTAAATTATTCATTTGATTTTATTGTTATTTTATTGTTGTGTGTCACTATTTTCCTTAATATCAGTACAATATGTCAACCAATTATTTTTCTTCTTTTTCGGGTCGTCCGTCCGTATCGTTCTCGTGAATGCGATATCTCAGAGACGTATCTCTTAACATTTTGCACAAATGTGCACTTTGTCTCAAGGATGAACTGAATACAATCAGGTGGTCGTGTTTTCAACTCAATAATTCATATGCTTATTGAGACAACTTCACACAAATGTCTAATAGGATAAAATGATGAACTGATGACATTTTGGACAGACGTGAATGTAAACTGCAACTGGACTGTTTGGCCAAGGCGTTCATACTAGTTTTTGCATTTAAATCCACGGGAGTGTCTCAGGAACCAGTCAGGAAGTGCTTTCTTTTTGTGCCGTCGGTTCCTTGATTTTAATTAGCCTCCCATTTCATGCTGCCAGCAGGACATCTGTGCATGTAGCAGCATGCAAACCTCTAAAGGTGAAAGGTCAGCAGTGGAGGCAAACTGAAGGCAACGTATATAATGAAAAAGAATGTGATCGGATCGAACTGTGAAAGTGCATTTCTGTCCTTCTAAGGGACATTTTGAGGACATTTTTGGAAGCTGAAGACATTTTTGTCTGATTCTCACTTCTTCTAAAGGCTGTTGATTGTTAAGATCTGGATTTAGGGTTCATGTTGGTGCGTCTTTGAAGGTCGGGGGAATGCTTTCAGGCAAAGAGAGTCTTCACAAGTTTATAATTAAAAACGTGTGTGTGTGTGGATGGGTTGTCGGGCTACAGTGACTGCTAATAAGCACGGCACACTTTCTATAACACACACACACTCAGTGGGGAGTCTGTCTGATTGGTTTCAGGTGTGTGTCTGTGGTTGTTGTGTGAGACCACAGTCTGACACCTCTGTAACGTGTGTGTGTGTGTGTGTGTGCGTGTGTGTGTGTGTGTGTGTGGGTGGGTGTGTGTGGCAACATGAAAACAAGGTCAAAGCTGTAAAGCTGCTCTGCTGAAACACACCTCATGAGACTCCATGTCTTTGTGTCGGGACACAGTGAAAGGGATTCTGGGTAACTGTAGCTCAGAGTCGATGTTCACACCTCAGCTTTATGCCACTATACTCATCGTGTGTCTCTGTACCTGCTGTCTTTCGTTTTAAATATCAAAGCTGCTGGGTGGAGCTGGGACGGATATCCGGTAGAGGCAAAGAGCTCCAGTAGTTTCTTTGTTGTTTTTTGGTGACAACTTTTACTCCAGAAATACCAAATCCAGGAGATGTTTCTGGAAGATTTCCAGTTACTTGCATTAGTAGGAACTGAAGTTACATGTTGTCGTTCCTACTCCAGTCAGTTAGAGAGGAGCACCTGTTAGCAACAAGCTAGCGGCTGTGCTTTGGTGCTTATTAATAACGTTTATTCCAATACTAGGCTCTTAGTCCTCTGTTGTAACCAAAAATTGCCAACAATCCAAAACTTTATGTCAGATATGCCTATTACATAATGTGTATAGCATACAAACATCGAATTTAATTGAATAGATCGGCCCCATTGTCACCGATATCCAAACCAGCTTAGTCAGTTTTGGCCTAGAAGCTCCTCTCATTGGTCACCATTGAAAAGGCTCCAACATTCAGTATCAATATGTATAGAAACTGTAATATTATTATGGAACACTATTGCCTAAATAATCGAACACACAGGAAACGTTAAGAGTTCTGTTGGAGGCTTGTTTTTGATGTTGTGGTTCTCTCTCTCTCTCTCTCTCTCTCTCTTTCTCTCTATCTCAGGTTCAGTCTGGTGCAGATGGAAGTCGCAGGTTGGCCGTCACCTTCAGAGCTGACAGTGAGTTCATCTCTACTTCTGTAAATCTGGATAATGTCTTTGGTTAATTTTAAATACACAGATGTTCCCAACAACCTTTTTACTTTGGCCAACTACCCGGATGATGGCTCTATTCCCAGCAACCTAATATTTTATCAAACCATATCTTCACGCAGACCTTCTTCTGAGGGTAAATTGCAGCCTAAGATTATTTTTTACTTTCCATCATGTTAGCCATCAGGAAGATCTGAAGCTCCCTACATCTCCAGCCTTTTCCTCATCCTCAACCATCCTCCTCCTCCTCCTCCTCCTCTTCCTCTTCGTCTTTTGTTCTTTTCTCTCTAAAAGTCAAGTTCCTGAGCCGTAGCCGATCCCTGCCTCCTGCCTTTGTCCGTGACCATGAGCGAGAAGCACTTTCAGATCACTCTTTGTGTGTGTGGACAGAGTGTGTGTGTGTGTGTGTGTGTGTGTGTGTGTGTGTGTGTGTGTGTGTGTGGAGACAGAGTGTGTGTCTTTTTACAGTTGTCAAGCAATCCCTTCATCAGACTGCAAGTTAACTTTTAAAGAAGTTTTCTTCCTAAAAACAGAAAAATCTGAACATTTAGTAAGTGTTAAAATAAAAATTGATAATAATCAATAGGTTCAATTATTTTCTTGGAATATTTCAGGACTTCATTTTTGATTATTTGCACATTTTATGAGCATCTAACAATGATTTTCATTGTTGTTAAATGTCAAAAATACCCATCACAACTTCCAGAAGCAGAAGGTGATGTCTTCAGGTTTCTGTTTTGTTCGAACAAAAGTCCAAAAAACAAAAAGATATTTAGTTCACTGACATATTTGAGTCCTCAAACTGTAGAGTCTGAAACCAGAGAATGTGACCCAATCTTCCAATTGATGGTCATAATAGTCGGGGATCATTGTTCTAGCGATTGACTAATCGTTTCAGTCTTAATCTGAATTATTGTCGTCTACTATTCGAGTTGATTGACAGATTCCCAAAAAAACAATTATTGTAGATTGTTAATAAAGTTATGTTGACTGACTGGAATGAAATTGGAATCAAACCCAGTCGTGAAATTCCCAAAGATTCCCATCCCTTCCCTTTGGTCGGAGACAGGCTAGCGGTTTCCCTTTGTTTCCAGTGTCTATGCTAGCGCTAAGCTAACCATAACCTGGCTGTAGTTTCTCATCAAACTCTTCTTCTTTTCCCACGAATGACAAACTATTCCTTTTAAATACAGCTCATCGTCGTTGCTATTCAGTTATTTTCGCTGCTTCCACGAAAAATCTTAATCTTCATAGATATTAGGTAGGTCACCAATAATGTGCAGGTCAGGGGTCACGAGGTCATGTGACTTTTATAATCACAACGCATCCTGTTCTTAAGAACAGAGAAAAATGTGGAAACCCACACACTTAAAGCCAAAGTGAAGCACTGAGGTGTTTTACCATGACAATCACAACCAGCTCATTGTAAGTGTGTGTGTGTGTGTGTGTGTGTGTGTGTGTATGTTGAGGGACTGACACACCTCACTGCTTCCGTTCCTCTGAACCTCCAGCTTTTGGAGGATGTAGGAAAGTCAGAAGCTTCTTCTTCTCTCTCACTCTGTTTGCGGCGATGTCATGGAAAATATAAATCAGGGGGACCTTTGACCTGCAGGAGGTCACTAATGGAAGCTGATGAAATAAGCAAAGTAGTGGCGTTAACACCTAAGTTTGGTGATATTTTATGTTTGTCTTATTGTTAACAATTACTATAAAAGGACCAAAACCAACAACGTTGTCCAGAAACTATTAAAAACACATTAATGAGCCTCACTGTTGCACTGGGTGACATGTTTCTTCATCACCATGAACACACACACTGTCGTTTATTTTGACTCAATCACACACACACACCGTCCTGCAGCCACAAATACTCACCAGAGCACCAAATGTCGAATAATCCGCCACTGAAAATAGTCCCCAACAAATACACTATTTCCTCCTTATAGAGTAACGGTTGCTAAAAACTACAGTGACCAGCTGTTACATCTTTAGCACAAACCAATAGGGTTGGAGCTGAAATTAGTGATGGATGGAATGACCTGTTGTTGGTTTTGGTCTTAAAATGAATTGATGATAAGAATACTCCAGGAAAATGTAAAATAACATCAGGTGCCTTTTCAGAGAGAAACATCCAATCAGAGAGCTTCAAATTTTGAAGAAGAAGAAGAAGAACTTCTGTAACGTCCTCTTCCTTCTCTGATTCATCTCTTGAGAGCTCATCTCTTGAGAGCTCTGAGGAGGAGCAGGAGGAAGAGGAGAAAAGGACGAAGAGTGTGTGAGGTCTACCACCTCCATCTCCTCCTTTTGCTTCTTAAACTTAAAGGAGGAAGAGGAGCAGGGAGATGAAGGGTTTACTATTCCTCTTACTCCTCTCCTTTTGTCTTTTATAGACGATCTTAATACAAAAAGGAGGAAGAAAGGAGGAAGAGGAGGCACAAGTGGCAACCTTTATATCCCATAGAGAAGCTTTATGATGGAGGAGGAAGAGGAGCGACGAGCCGTGACCTTCCTCTTTAGCCCTGAACATGACCCCTCTTTGAGGAAGAGGAGCAGTGACTCGTGTCGCATCCCATGCTCTCCTAACTTCCTCCCAGTCATCTCCATCCCTTTTTAAGCTCCTTTCCTCTTCCTCCTCCTCTTCCTCACCTCAATCCTCTCGGCAGGAGGAAAGGGGAGCAGTCAGTCGTGTCTGAGCTCCCGCCCCCTTTCTTTCTACATCCTAAGTCCGGCTTTTCTCCTCCGATCCCTCTCGGTTTCATGGCTGGCTGCTCCTCCTCCTCCTCCTCTTCCTCTGCCCCTCCATCTTCGTCCTTCGTGAGATAAAACAAGACAAATGTTGGGAACAGGAGGAGGCGTACACACGTGGTGATTGAATGAGTGAAGGGTGTGGTTTATCAAAATATGATTGACAGGTCTTTGCAGGATGCTGCTGCTAACAATATGTTTCCTATTTACTGTCTAATTGTTGTTATTTGATAAGCATAACTTTAGCTGTCATTACATAAAAAATTGCTAAATTAAAAAAAATACAAATTTCACCAGTCTTAACTAAGTCTTGAGTTATGTGACTCTCACTGCAACAACTTTTACCGCTCTTACTTACTGTAGGTAAGTACAATTTTGAGGTACTTTACTTCAGTATTTACATTTTCTGCTATTTTATACTTTTACTTCAATACAATTCAGAAGAAAATATTGTACTTTTTACTCCACTACACTTATTAACTGAATGTCAATATGAAATACAAATCAAGTAATAACTTATTATGTATTATTGTAATTTAAGGTACTCAGAGTATTGAATAAGCCCCAACTTTACCAGCTGCAAAACTCAAGTAATTTACATATTAATGCATCGATAATTATAATGCAATAATCATGTATTATTTAATTTAATAAACATTATTTTTAAAATAGGCCATCCTGCATAATGAGTACTTTTACTTTCATACCATGTGTATATTTTGATGCTAATAAGTGATTTCTTTGAATGTAGGACTCTTACTTGTAACAGAGATTTCAACACAGTAGTTTTTCTGCTTTTACTGAAGTAAAACTTCTTCCACCTCTGGAGAAATGAACAGGAAGACGCTGATATAGCTCATCTATAGGAGTAGGTAATGATGTCGCCATCTTCACCGTGGTGTGACTTCAACGACTGTCTTCATGTAACGCAGTAATATGTGTTAGAATATGTGGTAATGATGTGTTGTTGTTGATCTCTGCAGACTGCTCGTTGAACTACCCGTTGGGGAAACATGTGATCCATGAGGTCACCAACGTCTCCTTCAGCCACCTGGCCTGTGAGGATCAGGCCGCCGTGGTCGTCCACTGGGCTGCCAGTCCGCTAGGTACCTGTCTGTCTGTTAAACCTGTCTGTCCGTTGTCTGTTTACCTGCTTCTCCGCAACGGAAAGATTTAGAAAGAGGAGAGGAAAGTGAGGGAGCAGGAAAGTAAAAAACCTTTAAAGTGCTTAAATCCATAAGATTACCCAACTGTGTGTGTGTGTGTGTGTGTGTGTGTGTGTGTGTGTGTGTGTGTGTCCCTTTGATCAGGCCCGGAGAAGAGAGAGGATCACATCTCACACTACAATACCACGATTTGACCATGAAGGAATGTGTGTGTGTGTGTGTGTGCTCAGTGTAAGGTGAACCTCTCTCTCTGTCTCTCTCTCTCTCTCTCTCTTTCTCTGTCTCTCTGTCCCTCTGTCTCTCTTTCTGTCTCTCTGTCTCTCTCTCTGTCTCTCTCTCTTATGTGGTGTGGAGGAATGAAATGAACATGTGAGGTATAATGTTTATCATGTTTACCACCATCTTAGTTTAGCATGCTAACAAAGCTAGTTACCAGTGAACACAAAGCACAGCTGAGGCTGATGGGAATATCTTAAGTTTTGTGGGTTTATTTGGTCATAAACCAACTTTGTTATGGAAATAAATCTGCAACTATTTTGATAATCGATCAGGAGTCGTTGTTTTCTGGACTGCTGGTCAGATGGAGGAAGACATTTGAGGCTATAACTGTGGGCTCTGGGAAACTGCGATGGTCATTTTTTGTTACTTTAAATAAAAGAAAATATGGGATCACCCAAATCAAAAGGATTCATCCTTTAGGGGACATGAGCTGTACAAAATGTGTTGATATTTCAGTCTGTGGTGAACCAACCAACCCACAAGGCTAGAATGGCTGATAACTAATGTCTTTAGTCAAGGTTGAAACATATGAACACAACCAGAAATTATACTGAAGAAAAAGAGCACAAACCTGTCGTCACACTGCAGCTGTCGTTAATATGCAAAACATCCTCGTCTGTCTTTGACTCTGCAGGAGAGAGACGGAGAGAGAGACATGTTCAGGAATCTGCCTCAAGACAGAAAAACCTGTTCTACTGCTCTCTCTCCTTCTCTCTCTCCCTCCCTCCCTCCCTCCCTCCCTCCCTCTCCACTCCCCACAGAGCTAATAAGAAAAACATGTCCTGTGGATGTAAAGGTGTAATTACAAGACAGACGTGTTTTCAAAGACCAGAGAGGAGGAGGGGAGGAAACAAGGGGAGGAGGAGATAAAGGAAAGCAAGACTGGGGGAGAGGATAGGAGGGGTAAAAGGAAACAAGAAGAAGAGATGGGGGGAGTAAGAAAACAAGAAGTGGAGAGGAAACAAAGAGTGGAAGAAAGGTGGAGAAAAGAAAAGTTGTGAAAAGTTCATGTCTGGACACAATATTTAATCCATGATGTTTAATATTTCAACTCTATTCGTTTACAGATTGTAAAGCCTGCTGAGGCAAATTTGTGATTTGTGGTTTTAAGCTTTACAAATATATTGAATTGAATAAGAGGAAACAAGGAGGGTAGGAGATAAGGAAAAAGGGTGAAGAGGGGAGGAAACAATAGGAAAAGAAGAGGAAAGGAAACAATGAGAGGAGGAAAGGAAAGGAACCACAGAGAAGAAAGCGAACAAGGAGAGGAGATGAGGACAAAGTTGAAAGCGAAGAAAGAAGGAAAGGAAACAAAAGAAGAGCGAAGGACAAGAAAGGACACAAGGCTGGGAAAGGAAACAGAGGAGAACAGGGGAGGAAATGGATAGGAAACAAGAAAAGGAGAGGAAACAAAGAGTGGAGGGGAGGAGAGGGAGCAAGGAGAAGAAGGTTGGACATAAGAGGAAACAATGAGGAAATGAGAGAAGGGGTGAATAGGAGAGAAGAGAATAATAAGAGGAAGCTAGAGCAAAAGAAGGGGAGAGGAAAGAAATATATGAGAGGCATGGAGGGCGAAGCAAGTGAACAAGGAGAGGAGATGAGGAAAGGAAATTTGAGAAAGGAAAGAAATAAAAGAAGTGAAACAAGGTTCGGAAGACAAGGTAGTGAAAGGAAGCAAAGAAAGGAGAACGGGGGAGAAAAAGGAAAGGAAAGGAGACGAGAGTAGTAGAGGATAGGAAACAAGGGGAGTGAAGAGGAGGAAACCATGGAGAGGAGAGGAAAGGAGAAAAGGGAACAAAGAGAAAAGGTGGCGATAAGAGGAAACGAGGAAGGGAGGACAGAATGGGGAATAGGAGAGGAGGAAATAAAAGAAGAGGAATAAAGGGAAGGAAACAAGTAGAGATGTACGGATGTGGATCGTTGAACTTGTTGCTTTGTCTCTGCAGGAATCGAACACATTAAAGGCTTCAGAGTTTATCTGGAGGACAAGAATCCAGAAGGGAAACAGTGTCAACATCTCATCCTCAAAGACCCTCGACAGCTCAACTGCTCCTACAAGAACACGGTAGGACCGGAGGTCACGACGGTGCAAACTGGCCAATCACAGGCCAGGAGGCCGACCGCTGCTCGATCCCACCCAGACACTTCACATCTAGACTGGTTCAGAAATCCTAATCCAAAACTCACATGACAAACGTACGTTGAAAGAGTTATTGGTGGCTGAAAACAGTTCCCTCCTCTACATACCAGCGGGAAGTGACAAAGTTCCTAACTTGAACTTAGTCAGTTTAGTATGAACTTCCCTCTTTGTGTTTCCCTGCCAGTCTGCTGAGCTGTAGTTTCAACTCAACCTGCACAGACTACATCAAACCGCAGACAACATCCAAATCATTATGTCACAATATTGTCAATTAATGTGCAGCAAATATGTTTCTGAAACTATGGATAACCTTATTTCCGTGCAGCACTTTTAATTATTGCTTGTTTATTCTTCTTAAGACTGTTACTACTCAGTGTCTCCTTCATTTCCTCTGAATGGTTAACAATGTGGGTGCTTTCCATTGTGTCTCCTCACTTCCCTCATTCGCGTCTCGCCTCACATCCTCGCTGGGAGGAGCTAAGACGTGAGGATATGAGGAAGAGACGCAAGGATGGAGGAGGCGAAGCTGCTAAAGGAAGCATAAGTTATCATAATGAAAAGCACACTGTTGCTCATTGTTTCCTTCTCTGACCTTCAATGTTCTCCACAATGAACAAAACGGCTTCATGTCTCTGTTTTACTGTTGTTTTCTGACTCTTCTCTGTTATTCATTGTTGATTTATTGTCATTGTTCTCATGCAGAAGCTGAGCAGCCAGCCGTTCAGCGGTTTGACCTTTGACACCGACTACATGGTTCGTGTCGTTCCTTTCCCGACTCTGATGAACGAGAGCTTCTTCCCTCCGTCCTTCCTCCGTACCAACTGTGAGTCCAGCGAACTCCTCGTTTATCTTACCCACAGAGTCACGTGTTTAGCTTAGCTTAGCACAAACACTGGAGGCAGGGGGAAACTGCTAGCCCACCTAAAATGATGCCTTTTAACTAATTAAAATGCTTAAACTAATAGTAGTTAACATAACTTATTAGTAGCATAATTTTATAATTATTACTTCTGCTGTTATTGGTACAACTACTGATATTACTACTCTCATTATCACTTATCATCATTATCAGGCTAATTTAAGATATGTGATATTGGGCTATGCAAATAAAATGAAGTTAAATTCAATTCATGGCAGACTCAGCATTTTTGTATTTTGATGGCGGCTTTCCGGTTGCAAGTCTGCAGCTGTCCACATCTGCATCAGTACCAGAGTGTGATCAAAGCTTCAGGCTAAACACATCCTGGACCTTCGTATCTCTGCACTGGACACACAGAGATGAAACTAATATCCGTCTGGGGAAGATCAAAAAATATATAAATAAAGCGCACATGTTTTGCCCAAAATGTCAAGACTGTCCCATCAGATTCAGGGACACGCCGCCTAACATTTCTGTGTGTGTGTGTGTGTGTTTTCATTCAACAGCGTGTGAAGTCCTCCTGGGATCAGACAACCTGGTTTGCAAACCATGTAAGTTACTCTGTGTCGTCGTCATAACCAGAGCCACATGTTAGTCCAGGGTTTAAATGTCTTGTTTTAAGAGTAATTACATGTAAGTTAAAGCTTTCCACAAACTTATTTTAATTCTAAATTTACAAAAAGAATTGAATCCAATCAGCACCATGAAGAAGCTTGTTGTCATTTGATATATTCATTTGTATGTTATGTTTCTGGTGCACATGTTTCACATTAAAACCCATCTTTGAAGGAAGTGTTGATAGGAAGTGTTTGATAGTCGCTTAACACATAATTAGTTGCTGAAAACAGTATTATTGTTAAAAAGAGAAGCTGAATTATACTGAATTCATCAAGACAACAAGTAAACATGGAGAAAGATGGATTATAAGCAAATTAAAAACAGGAAGACATCAGAAACCAGGGAGGCTTCTTATTAATTATATGATCAAATGTACTTTTTATGGTAATAAAAACATTTCAATTATACTTTTGTGCTGCCAATTCCATTATGAACGTGTAAACCGCACATGTCCAAGAGAGTGGAGGTTGATTTATTTGTTTCTGTCTGTGCAGTCTGGAAGCCAAAGACCCTGAGCGTGTCCCAGCTGGGATCGAACCTCCATGTGGCGTTCGACCAGGCGCCAGCCTCCTTCGGCTTCCACTTCTACTTCCTGTACTACAAGCTGAGGCAGGTCGGACCCTTCAGACAGCAGCGCTGCAAACCAGTGAGTACCGTCAGGTTTGGAAAGTCTTTCTGACTTCTACCGTCAGAAACGAGAGTTTCAGACGCTGTTACAGATTATTTTAGAAGCAGATGGAAAAATATGAAATATCCTGGAAAATCTTGTGTTGTCCTGGAAAATGATTTCAACATTCTCCTATTTAGCTTTAGCTCAGAATGAACTCTTGGCTTTCTATCGGAGCAGATAACACTGAAAGTTAAGTTCAGGCTCATATTAATGTCAAATGGTAGTTTATGGACAAGATTATTTCTGTGATCTAGTTGTAACGCTGCGAACACCCCCCCCATGTCACATGGTAGCACATGCAGGTTGGAGGACTTGACAAAACGTTGCTTTCTTCCCAACTTCTTTCAAACGGTTGAATAATGTTGAATTGGTTAGCGTGTTTTTATTAGATGCTAAATCTAACATACTTGCTAGCTTGTTAAGGTTTGCGATTCAACTCTGGCTCGGAGCAATGGTTTCAAATGTCTGAGTTGAATGAATGGGAAGACGGGGTCAAAACAATGAATGGGAGCCCAAAAACACCGGCTAAATACTGGCTAACTGTACTTTTTTACTTTGCTAGCATTGTCTCTTCTAACGCAATGCTGCATTGTTAAACATATCACGTTATGTTATGATCCATTTAACTTCTGTAGCGGTAGCTCACAGTGGATGTTATCAGCCTTGTTAAAGACTCCACTTAATATTACTAGTAAAGGGGCAGCGAGTAATCGACTTTAGCCTTTAAATCGTACATTTAGGTATGTAAATCAGACTTCCACAGAGAGGAACATGTCCTGGAAAATCAGGGAGGATCTGAAGATTGACCACCAACCCTCGACCCCTGTGATTAGCGGAGGAGAGTGGAGATTTAGGTTTTATGTGTTTGCTCATTGAAAGAAAGATGGACGTCATTCAAACAACATTATACCTGTTGGTCGCTTTGATTTCACAGCCTTTGCGATGTGTAAATTGTTGGAATTCATCATAATAAGATTGTGATGCCCACTGCGGGCGTAGCTGAGTTTTAAATAGTTTTTTTGTTTGTCCATTTTTTAGGATGTGAACCAGCACAGAACGACATGCATCCTCCAGGACGTCACTCCAGGGACCTACACTATCGAGGTACATGAACGCAGTGCAGGGCCGAGCTTCATTTACACATCACACCAGTTCTGAACTGGTTAAACTGGGTTCTACTTTATACATGGATTTAAATGCAAAACACTCAAATTGTTTAAAACCCCCAAAATCTCAAATTCATATCTAAGTGGTTGTACAATCAATTTATAATATTTCTCTCTTTTGTTTCCTTCCCTTCTTTCACAACTTTTCCTCTTTCCACTGTCAGCTGAGAGACGACGGTAACACAACCAGGAGGCAAAGTCAGTACCACGTCAGCCAGGGTGAGAGACACACACACACACACACACACACACACACACACACACACACACACAGAGCTGCAGAGTTTGCATCAGGAGAAGCTGTACTGACTGCATTCTCTACAGGGCGACAGGAAGTTCTTTGATTGCAAATGAAAAGATAAATTCATGAGCAACAAAAACACAACGCCGCACAGTTCATTACAGTCAGTGGTTTTACAGCGACAGCTTTAACTGGTCTGTTTATAAGTATAATAGACATTACTTATCCATTTCAATGACTTTATGATCCTCCTAAACTTGTGTTACATAGTTGTCATATAGTTACATAGTGTTGCTTTAAAATTGAAATGTAATCAAGAAAATTCCTTTATAACTCTTTTTGATCAAACCCCTGGTCCTATTGGGCACCTATTTAACAATATATGCAAAAGAAATCTTTCTTTGTATTTTTACATCAAAATCTTTACATCATCGTTTCCTGCTGGAGAATTAAATATCACGTGTGCTTACGACGCGTGAGTAAGCTAGGACCGACCAAATTCGACCAATAATATCATGACATCCATCCATCATTCAATCTGTCACTTTTAGTGATAAGGGAGGAGTGTGTGTGGAACCACAGACCTCTGTAGCTACACTTTAAGCCCGCCTACTTTATGGTCAACCAATCAAATGAGAAGGGTTTGATTTAAATCCCTCTTTTAACTTCACACGGCTCAAATATTCAGTGTGTCACAGTACAGAAGCTAAAGACGCTCTAACTTCCATTTCACTGAGACTTTAAAGGACTTAGTTACCTGACTCTTTTTGTCTCATGACGGGTGCGTTTGTTTTCATCTCCAGTCCTCTCCACCTGGGCGGGGCCTATCCGGGCCATGGCCATCACGGTGCCTCTGGTCATCATGTCTGCCTTCGCCACTCTCTTCACTGTCATGTGTCGCAAGAAACAGCAAGGTGAGAGCGCTAGTTGTTGGTGATATTGCTTGTTTTTAAGTCACTTCCTATAAATCACACGTCATGGTGGAACGTGACAAAGTACTTTTACTCAAGTACTGTACTTAAGTACCACTCCATTGTTCTGTACTTGAGTATTTCCATTTCATGCTACTTCTTTTACATCAAATATTTTTTATCGAGCTATAATTTTTAATACAATACAGTACAATAGACTTGTGTATTCAAGATTATTTTCATGTTTTTTACACTTTTGCATGTAGAATTAGTAATAAGAAAATAATAGTAATAGGTACTGATGTGAAATTTAAATAAAATGATAGAGTGGCAGGATAAGAACCATCTACATACAGAAAAGAGAAAATAAATACAGTATATACTGTATATATATATATATATATTAGTAATAATAAGAAAATATACTGTACATTTTTTAAAGAAGTACTGAGTTGACGTCAAAACCAGAAACATCATATATGATAGTAAAACTTTTACTTTTCATAGTTATTTGCATACTTTTACTTGAGGGAAGTTTTGATGCAGGACTTTTATGTGTAATGGAGTATTTTCCCAGTGTGGTATTAGTACTTCTAATACAGTGAAGGATCTGAATACTTCCTTCACTGCTGGTTGTTGAGTTGGGACTGTTGGTGCATTCAGAGAGGAAAGATTTAACGTTATTCTCATACATTTTGTCTCCCCTCCTCTCAGAAAACATCTACAGCCAGCTGGACGAGGAGAGCAGCGAGTCGTCCAATCACAGCGCGGCGTTGAACGCGGAGCGGCCGTGGCCCCGCCCCAAAGTCTTCATCTGTTACTCCAACCGAGACTGTGCCAAACACATCGCCGTCATCCAGAGCTTCGCCTACTTCCTGCAGGACTTCTGCAGCTGTGAGGTGAGACAGAAACCACGTGATGTCTGGATGAAGGTGGTAAAATCTTAAAGTGGGTTTGGTCGTTGAGTCGTTGTTCACTTGTGCTCAGGTGGTGTTGGACCTGTGGGAACATCTGGAGATGTGCAGAGAGGGTCAGATGTCGTGGCTCAGCAGACAGCTGGACGAAGCCAACTTCATCATCACCGTCTGTTCCAGAGGACTACGGTACTCTCTCTGTCTCTGTCTCTGTGTCTCTCTCTCTCTCTCTCTCTCTCACTCTCTCTCTCTCTCTCTCTCTCTCTCTCTCCCTCTTTCTCTGTCAAAGCTGCAGTTCCTTTGACCACTAGGTGGTACTATAACACTTGTAGTAAATAGCCCCCAAATAAACATTAATTTATTTATTAAGTCAAAAGTGATTGTGTGTTTTGATAGATCTGACCCAGTATTGAATCTAAACTAAGACATAAAGTAGATGAATGAACGTCTCTTCTTACCTCTTTTACTTTGTGTTGTTTTCTCTTCTAACCGGCTTGTTTCTCTTCCTGCAGCTACTACATAGAGAAGAAGAGTCGCAGAGGGAAGACACCAGTCAGTCGCCGTAGTGGCAGCAGCAGCAGCTCTCCGATTGGTGGATCAGGCGGTGACCTGTTCATTGTGGGCGTGGCCATGATCGCCGAGAAGCTTCGGTTGGCGAAGCAGAGCGAGGGGGGCGGAGCTCAGGAGCTGAACCGCTACATGACGGTTTATTTTGACTATTCCACAGAAAACGACATCCCCACCATGTTGAGTCTGGCTCCCAGGTAAACAACAACACCACGCTGGACAAAATAACAGAAACACCTTCAGAAACAACAACAGCCCAACACTGTTTGTGACAACGTTATTAAGAATATTACAGCAAAAATATGAGATATTTAGATATTCAAGTGTTTGAGAAGCGTGAATTCTGAGTTATGGAATTTTAGACAAGACACACAATACCTAGATGTTGCGTTTTTTACTGGGAATTAAATAGGATTGTGTTTTCGATGCTGCTTACATTTAGGAGCTTGAGGACTCTTTGAGATCTTTTAGCTCCACATTTTAGAATATATCAGATGTAGCAAGTTAATGTTAATTCCTTATATAACTTACCAAATTCCTAAAAAGGCTAAAATGAAACTTGGCTGTTTTCTGGTTGAGGGCCGGATAGAGGATTGGCACATGGTTGTGTTTACACAACAAAAGGTACAGCTGTTTTTAAAGTGTCAGACATATGTCACATGTTAATATGCAAAACTGTTTCTGACTTCTCAGACAATCTTTAGAGTCACTTACAAATATTAAAAAGCTAAATGTTATTTGAAAGGACTCAGATTCAATAACTGGATTCACGCTACACTGTGTGTGTGTTTGACCAATCAGCAGCAGTGATCCCTGCAAACCTCACCCTGAAAGTTCCTTTATTTGGGTCTTTTTTGAGGGATAAAATGCTCCAGAACTTAATTTAGACCCTGGTTCCTGCAGTCGAAAAAGCATACGAGTTCTTCAAAAGGTTCCTAGTTCCTGCAGAAAGTTCCTGCGGTCAAAAAGTGACTACTGTCTCCAACATTTGGCAACCCTTCCAGCAAATGTGCTCTCTGCTTCGGTGTAATAAAGAAACAAATCAAACCTTTACATTTACATTTGCATCTTAAATCAGCATCACATCGTTTAACAAGTGTATTACAGCTCACATATTTTCTCTACATCGTACTGAAGCAGAAAACTGTTTAATTTTGACATTAGTCGAGTCCTTTGTGTGTGTCTGTAAACCCTGCATCACACATGTTATCTCCTGTGTGCAGGTTTAAGTTGATGGACCAGCTGCCTCAGCTCTTCAGTCGGCTCCACTCCAGTCAGTCCAGTTTGGCTGATCGCGAGTCGCAGCCTCTCAACGTCTCCAGGAGGAACTACTTCAGGAGCCGATCCGGACGCTCGCTCTACGTCTCCATCTGCAACATGCACCAGCACATCAGCCAGAACCCCGACTGGTTTGAGAAGCAGCTTTCTCCTCCTTCAGAAGGTTCCTCAGCCTCGTCCTCCTCCAAGCATCCTCCGGTCCCAACTGTCCCGGGTCCAAGCCCTCCTCCAAAGACTCCCTGCCCCTCCTCCTCGTCTCAGCCTGTGCAGAGGTTCGACTCCGGCTTGGTGCTGAATGAGGTGGTGGTGAACACGCCGCCCCTGGAGGGGCAGAGGAGGAACATGCTCATGCTTGTCCCCGGATCTAGTCCCAGTCTGAACCTAGGCCACAGTTCTAGTCCCAGTCCGGATCCCTGTCCCAGTCCAGGTCTGCCACACTGCTCTCTGTCCATGCTGGGAGCCACTTCAAGGTAAAGAAAGATGTAACATGGCTGTGGTTTTATCATTGTTTTCCTAAAGCTACAATTCTATTTTGGTCTTTAAAAGATATTATTTACAGGTGTATCTTGATGCAATACTCGCATACCTGTTGGTACATTAATCATTCCACTTCCTATGCTACTCTTACAACTACTTGCTCTGGATAACCTTTTGCATTTTAACGTTTTTGCGTCAGCGTGTGCCAAGCGTATCCCGGTTGGTTTCAGTTGGTTGCAATTTGCAACCTTGCTGCTGGATGTCGCCAAATCCCACACACTAGACCTTTAACTGTTAGTTGAGCTAACATTAGCACTCACACACTAGCATCATCACATGCTGGTAGAATGAAAATAGTTTGGACTCCACAGCAGATAACATGAGAGCACTCTGCTTTTCTGCTCCTTCAGGTCCACTTCTGGATTATCTGGACTGTCACCTGAAGAATCCTCCTCCTCCTCTACCTCCTCCTCCTCCTCTGCTCCCTCCATCCTCCAGGATGTTGTGTGTCCTCTCCTCACTCAGGCCGAAGAAGGCCATCGTTCCCCTCCGGAGGCCCCGCCCCCTCGCGATTCGGGCATCTACGATTCGTCCGTTCCTTCCTCGGAGCTCTCCATTCCCCTGATGGATGGACTGTCACATGACCAGGCTGACTCCTCCTCCCTGGCAGACAGCGAGTCATCTTCTTCGGGGTTGGGTAAGGCTGGCTGTGTTTTTTACCCCTTTTATACTCACCAAAATGTGTGTGCACATTGGACATACGAATATTGATATTAAATATAAAAATGCACAATATATACAAGAAATATATATACTTATATAAATATATAAGTGGCGATAATAAGTGAAGTCGCTCACACCTGTCCACCTTGTCTCCCACCTGTCCACCGTGTCTCACACCTGTCCGCCGCGTCTCACACCTGTCCGCCGCGTCTCACACCTGTCCACCGTGTCTCACACCTGTCCACCGTGTCTCACACCTGTCCACCGTGTCTCTCAGGTGACGAGGAGCCGCCTGCCGTCACGTCGCTCCGCTGCAAAGCAGAGCTGCACCACCATCACCACCTGGAGCACAGCGACGGACCCGCACCTGTGGCGTCGTCATAGGACACACCTCCGGCCAATCAGAAGAGGAGCAGCACTGGTGATGTCATCATAGGACCCCAAAAAAAATATCTTGGACCTGAATCCTCTCTTAAACTATCTAAAGGTACTTTGTTCGCTCTGCCTGGAGGATTTCTTATTTTGAAGGACTGGATCTCCAGACGCTGGCAGAGCGGACCAGTTCAAACCAAAGACTCAGCACTGTGGATTGATTGATTGATTGATTGACAGCTGACTCATGTATGAGTGGACGTTCAGGCACTTTTTGATGCAGGAAGGCACAACATGTCCAGATGCTCCCGACAACAACAACAACAACGGGACGAACGCGGCTTCTGAAGGTTTTTGTTTTAAACCAAAAGCTGCTGATTATACAATGTGGCGACAGAATATATATTTTGTATTATTCTCAACATTTAGGATCAACACCAAGTACGCACTAAATACTTTTGGGGGGAAAACCACATATTCATCAATGACTGTTGTCCTTTAAAAAGAGTTTGTTTGATGTGCTTTTTTGAGCATTTTTCTCATTATAAAGAGGAATTCTCTCAAAACATTTTTATTAATATTCATTGGATTTAAAGTTTTTCCTCTCATATGTTTTAACAGCATACCTTATTTAAAATGTCTTCATGGCCAGTGGCTAATAAAAAACTGTAATATTATTTTTGACAAACTGTTAACTGAACAGAGCTGTCGGAAACCTACTAAAACCTGCTAATGTGACGTAATGTAGTGGAAGAATTGTGTGAAATATGTGTTAAATTGAAATTCTGTGATTTTCTCTGCAAAGTTCAGAACACACAATTAAAATTCATTCATCTGTTGGCTCCACACGGACGCCATAACATATTGAATACTGTGGTTACATATTTAAAAGTATTGAATATTAATGTTACATTCATAGTCATGTATTTCTTATTAATCCTTTTCTAACATTGTTGCAGGAAGCAGCGATGATGAGGGCATTACTTTTGTTGTAGAATGACTGAAAACCACTTTAAAGATGCAGCTACGGAGGCTCGTTACGGCCAGAGCAAGAAATACACACAAAATTATGATGTCACATTTTTTATTTACTAAAATAAAACTTATGAGATACAAAATTAGATTGTATAAAAGTAAATCAACATTCTGAACTATGATCCAAACACTCAACTCAATTATTGATCCCATGAACATGCTTCATATCTGACGCAAGTATCAGAACGCTACGACTTTGTTATTGATCGTTTAAAGTTGTATTTCCTCAAATTGACTCAAATGTGTTGAGTTGCTGCTGAAGGCAGAGTGACGTCTTCTGGTTCATCTTCGGGTTTGACCTCTTTGGAAGGGAAGAGTCAGCGTTTCCTACTTGTAAATAATATTCTTATTCTTATTTTTCCCTGGAAATGTCTGTTCTGCTTCAACTTTGTACATTTAGACTGTTGTATCACTATTCTTTCTACAATATTCTAGAGATGTACTGTTTTATAGTACCTTAATGTAGGAAATAGATAAATCCATCCAATAAAATGTTTGTCTTTTCATCTTTTTCGCTCAATATTTGACTGTTAAGAGTTTGTGATTAAAATAATAAACAGTATATTTTGCAGTAACTTAAACCAAATTAATAAAACAAACAAAAAACACAACACGTGGCAAAAACGAATATCTATTTGATGCAAGTTACAAAGCTGTCGCAAAGTATTTTATCGGGTAACAAGAAGGACAAATACTTGAGTACAATACAAATACATGACGAAATACTCCACAATGAGCTATACTGCTTTACGGCTGGTTGTCATCTCTCATTTGCTTCAAGCTGACGAACAAGTTTTAGTTTCTTACTTTGTTCACTGACATTAAGGCAGCAGACAGCTCTATAGTGTGAGAGCTGCGAAGCGTCAACGCTTAAAACAACAGAAGCCTCTAAAACTCACAGCCTGCACAGGTCTACCTTCAAAATAAAAGCCCAGGCCATGTCACTGTTCAGAGTCAGGCTGCGATTAATAATTCAGTATCCGTTATTTTTCGTTATTAATTGTTTAGTTTGTATAGGAATGTATACTACTAACCTAACCTTGAGTCTTTTGTTGCAGACTGAAATGTGTCCGTAGCACTGATAATCGGTTTTTGTCAATTTTAGCCTGTATTTAGTTTATTTAGACCTTTACATCACATTACATTACAGTCATTTAGCAGATGCTTTTATCCAAATTGACTTACAATAAGTGTAGAGAACCTTTGCGAACTTCTTTTGTTAAACGAAAATAATCATGATTATATTTCTTAATTAAGTAATGTATAAATTGTTATTGGTTCCACAATCTAGGTATTGTATTGGCACTAGAATTTTAAAATATGTCAGCAAAAAGTAGACCATAATCACCTCTAAAATGTATTGCATCAGCATAAGTAGGAGCGGCAGAGAATGGAATCACTTAAGTAAACTAGTCTACTTTAAAAACTGTACTTAAGTACAGTATTTGAGTAATGCACTTGGTAACTTTACACCACTGTTCTTTTTTAACCCCTAAAAATTATCAGTCAATTTAATGGCTCTTATTTTGAAGGCGCCACCGGAAGAGAGAGATCCCTCGCTTGAAAGAATCTGCACATCGACTCTCAGTTTGTTGTTCAGCTTCAATGTAATCGGACTCATGTTTGACCTAAGACTTATTATAAAAGAGGAAAAGTTTGTTTTTGTCGCACCGGAAACTTGACAGCAGCCGGAAACAGATTGATTTCAATGTTTGTTTAAAAATAATGATAATACTTTGATTGTGGTTCTGTCTGTGGTCGTCGGGAGGAGCTGCAGCTCGATGCAGACAGGTGATGGATGTCAACGGGGTTCAAGGTGAGAAGCTTCAGTAGTTTACTAAAGTGTGAGAGAAGAAGAAGAATGTGACAGACAGGCTGTCTGTCTGTCTGTCTGTTGCTTTATAAAAGCTGTGTGGAGAAGTTCAAGAAGTCTGGTCGAGAGACCCTGAAACGTACTGTGTTTTAAAGAGAGAGAGAGACATAGACAGAGACAGAGAGAAAGGGAGAGAGAGAGAGAGAGAGATACATAGACAGAGACAGAGAGAAAGGGAGAGAGAGAG